AAGAGTGACATTTAAGTGACTCATATATGACTTAACTTACATAGTTTTAAAAGTAGGCGGATAATAATAATTGTAAAAATATCCATTTTTCTATTTTTAACATGGTGGACCATAACATGAGGGTTTGCGATGCATACGACACACTTTAGAACCCTTGGATCCATAGCACAGTTATACTATTTGTTGCTGGTGGAGGCATTCTCACGGGCAACGCTCGTTTGAGTGCCACGACCAACAAACGGGTCACTCTCCTAACGAGTAGGACAAACAATCAAGGTGAATGGGCAAGCGAACAAACTTGCAAGAAGCTCACATTGTGATAGTTCAGCTGATGTACGAATCAATCATAATGGGTGTCGACAACGGCAAAGCACACCTCATACAAATGGATGCAGAGATGCTACATGCAACATGACACACACGAATGTGATGTACCGGTAAAAATATGTTACCTATGGAGAGAAATTACATCTGCCCGGGGAGCCATGCAACCAGTAGACACCAACTACAAATGAGTTTGTATCAAGTAAAAAATATCTATAAAAAGGATTCACGCCTTACCCTAGAGGCACTCACGGAGCACACATGTAAACATGCAAGATATGCAACATGCATGAGTGGGAGTGAGTACGCCATGGAGGTAGTGACTGGGTAAGTTGGGAAAATCGTGGAGGCTACAACTAAAAATATGGGTGTGTTGTGGTGGTCGTGACTCGAAGGGGTGGGCGTGTCGTGGAGGCAGAGACCCGATGGATGGGTGTTCCATTGAGGTAGTGACCCTAAAGAGTGGGCGTGTCGTGGAGATAGATGACCGATGGATAGGTTTGCAATGGAGGCAGTGAACCGAAGAATGGGTATGTCGTGAAGGCATTGACCCGACAGATGGGTATGCCAATAGGACAGTGCTCACAAGGGTGGGTGTGTCGTGGAGATAACAACCAGAAAAATGGGTATGTCATAGAAGCATAGGCCCTATATATGGGCGTGTCGTGGAAGTAGTGACCCAAATGAGTGGAAATGTTGTGGAAGCAGAGAGCCGAATGATTGGTGTGTCGATGAGGCGGTGGCTCGAAAGGGTGGGTATGTCGCGAAGGTAGAGGTCCGACTGAGGGGTATGTCGACGAGGCAGTGACCAAAGGGATGAGCATGTTGTGGAGGCAAGGGCCCGACAAATGGGCATGCCAAGGAGCCAATGACCAGAGGAATGGACATGTCGTGGAGGCAGAAGCTCGACAGATGAGTATGCCGAGGAGGCAGTGACTAAGGGAATGGGAATGTCATGAAGGCAGCGACGTGACAAACATGTGTGTTGAGGAAACAATGACTTGAGGGATGGGCGTGTCGTAAAGGTTGTGGCCTAACATATGAGTATGTCGAGGAGGCAGTGATACAGAGGATGCCCGTACCGTGGAGGCAACGACCCCAAA